TGAGTTCAAGGCCAGCCTGGTCTACATAGTGAGTACTAGGACAGCTGGGGCTATAGGGAAACCCTGTCTCAAAAAGACAAAAAAAAAAAATCATTTTGTAATTAACAATCTGTACAAAGTACTAGAGAAGATTGGGTATGGCTTATTTTGACACCTAAGTTTCAAAGCGAAGCCAGAGTGCTGAAGCCTAGGGGCAAGGTTCACACATAGGCACTGTCCTATGCCTTGAATCAGTTTCATTAACTGTAGAAACAGAGAGCAAAAAAGAAAAGAAATGTAATAAAACCAACAAAACCAATAAAAATTACCCAGGATCCCACCACCCAGAGGTAACCTCTCATTTTTAACCTTGGTGCTATAGTCTACCATTTTGGGAGGGGGCAGCCTTCTGTACATGGATCAGAGAGAGAAGTCATTTAAGAAGCTAGCTGCAGTTTAAACCCTTGCCCTGAATGGATGGAGAGATTCTGCCTAAGGAAAAACTTGGCTCTTGTTTAGGAAAACATCCTGATATATCTGGGGGACTGTGAGTGGAGGTGGAGGAGGAGGGAGAAAATGGGATGGGGGGGAACCAGCAGGAAGCTAGAGCTTTTTCCATGAAGTTCAGGTAAGAAGCTTTTTAGTCACATCAAGAAGGGAAAGCTGAGTCTGCAGTGAGGGAAAGCCGACTTCGGAACCTGTCAGCTGCCCCAGGAAGAAGCAGTGAGTTGGGAGGGCTAGATGCCATCTAATTGTTTCTCTGGGCCCCTCTTTGGCCCCAGTGGATTTCAGGAACTCCTATTCATAAGCTCTAGGTTGGGCAGTTTATCCCAGTGCTCAAGATCCCTCACCCCAAGACAGACATGATCCAGCTATAGCGTCCATCATAATGCGAAGGACAGAATCAATGAACAGGCTCCTGACCTAAGCTGGGCCAATCAAAAGTGTTTGCCAGATTTTTTTTTTCTTGAGGGGAAAGCATCTAGGAGAGCGCTGGAGGCTCTGGCTCCCGCTGTTCTTGTGCCTTGCTAGCTCTGTGAACCTTGAATTCCCTTCCCAGTGTCTAGCTGCCATTTGTTCTGAAAAGAGCCCTGCCATACCCATGGCAAGATGAAGAAAGGAAAAGAGAAGTTCAGAAAAGGGGGAGAGCATCAGCCACTAGGGTCATGAAGAGTCCAGGAGAAGCAGACAATAGACCTTGAAAGTCATTGATTAGACAGAAGACCAGACTTTCCCTAGACATTAGGGACTTGAGAAAAACTATTATTTTCATTTTCATTTTTTTTTTGCAAATTCAAGGGACAGAAGATCACTGATAAACAATTTATAAACAACAAGGTTACATACATATTTCTGTGCAAATATATAGTACAAATGATTTTGTTGGCTTCTGGGGGCCATTTTCTACTCTCAGCCTATGATGTCTGCACATCTGAATGCTGTTCTACGTATTTAACTGTTCACTAATGGATCATCTAAAAGTATCACACCAACCATTTCAAATGTATCCCTGCCCAAACACAATGCCAAAGTGACTAGCAGTCATCACAGTAATAAAAATAAACGGAAACTTCATTCTTTGCCTGTGATGGCAGTGCTGGGAGTGTCGTGGGCGTGGGGTAGGGACAGCAGTTACTGCTCAGACTGTCCAAACAGGTGAATGAAGCTGTTCAGTGTTATGATGCCTGGCGCTGTGATGTGCTGTTCTCTGTAAACAGTAGTAAGGAAACTGGGTTTGTAGAGACCTGCTTTCTTCCCCTCACCATCCCATTGTACCAAACAGAGGGCTGCTGCCTGGGGCTGCTCTCTTCTAGACCCGTCTCCTTGTGACTCCCTGTAAGAGTTTGCCACTCAAGCTTGGAAAAGCCTACGAAGCCTAGATTTGACTCTCAGCTCACCTAACTCATCCAAGTGCTTCAGAACAGTGAGGCACTGACTCATAGTTCATGTGAATCAGCCTTAGGGCTCCAGAGCAGCAGTTTTTAAAAAGCTTTCTGTATGGAAATTTGGTATTTTCCCTTAGAAGAAGAAAAAGAATCCTGGGGGGCACAGAAGCCAGAAGTGTAGAGTATGTTCCGAAATAGAATGTAACGAGAAGGG